TTATATAGATTAAAATTTTACAGTCATCTCTTGGTATCCATGGGGGATTGGTTCCAGGACCACCCACGGATACCAAAGTCCACACATACTCGGGTCCTTCAGAACCCACATATGAAAAGTCTGCCCTCCTCTTAAGTGGGTGTCTCATCCTGCTAATAATGTTATTTTTCAGTCCATCTTTGGTTGTGGATGCAGAACTCTGCGATATGGAGTCCTGAATGTATTTAGTGAAATATCTGCATGTAAGTGGGCCTACACAGTTCAAACCTGTGTTCAAGGGCCCGCTGTATATTCAAATAATAATAGGTCAATTCATGTGAATATACCATGAGAACATCTAGAAATGTGTTTAAATCTTAGCTTTTATATAATAAGAAACCTTAGAATGGATTTTCTTATATTAGTTTTCAGACATTTGAGGCCAAATACACACTCAGACACATGTGTACATATAAAAGTTGGAGTATTTGACTATTAATCTAGGCCAACATGATCATAGAAAAGACTTTATTTTATTAAGTCATATGATTTTTTTTCTCCTCACATTTAGTGTATTTTGGCTGTTTATTGAAAATATATTTTTGGCCAGGCACAGTGGCTCACATCTGTAATCCCAACACTTTTGGAGGCCAAGATAGGAGGATCACTTGAGGTCAGGAGTTTGAGACCATCCTGGGCAACATGGTTAGACCGCATCTCTACAAAAAATTAGAAAATTAGCAAGGCATGGTGGTATGTGCTGGTAGTCCCAGCTACTCAGAAGGCTGAGTGAGGTAGGAGAATCACTTGAACCTTGGGGTTTGATTCTGCAGTGAGTTATGATCTTGCCACTACACTCCTTCCTGGGTGACAGAGCAAGACTAGTCTAAAAAAAGAGAAAATATTTTAAAATATATTCTTTAACAGCATAGTATATTTATTAGATTATTAAAAATAATTATTGTAGACAGCTATTCAATATTAAGTCATCTTATTATTTGTTGTAGGCAGTTGATTGCTAAAAACAAGGATCCCTGTGACTCCTGGTATTTTCTAGTCTTTTCCTTGTCTAGCTCATTCTGTAGTCCAAAAAACACCTATTTTCCCAATCTAAAATTCTTAGTCTGACCAGTTACATAATGTGGTTGTTCTGAAAATGTGAAAGGAATTTAAACAGTAGAAGTGCTGAATGTTTGTGGTTTAAGTCCTTCTCAGGATAGAGTGCCTTTTAAGAAAGAAAGTTGGTATACATATAGCAGGAGTAGGAGGAAGTAGCAATTTTCTTAGTTTTGGGCCATTGCGGCAGTGGCTAACGTATATAGAGGTAGTAATGGCTGTGAAGAGAGGACCACCTTCTTGAGATTGCTGTGGTTGTGAAAGTGAGGTAAGGGTCATACATTTTAATGAGTCATTTATGTTTCTTAAAGTTAGAAATAATTTCATACTTGTAGATACAGTATAAAGAACCTCTGTATATCCTTCATCCAGATTTGCCAAATGTTTATTACATTTACCATGGTTTTTTTTCTCTATATATTTGTGTATACATGCATGTTATTTTATTCTGAATAACGTGAGAAGTTGCAGACATAATGCCTCTTAATTTCAGGCTATATCCTAAAATTTCTTATTATCATAATACCATTATCAAAATCAGAACATGCAGTTTTTAACATGTTTGTTCACTTGGGGACAAAGTATAGGTGGAGTAAAAGTATAAGCTTGCAAAACTACTTTAAGTGCCTATGGGGAATTGCAGTCTTTTTAGTGGTTAAGAAAGCAATACAGAATATTATTCTGATTTAGAATAAAATCAGTGGAATAACAGAGTAACACAAGGTACATAAACAAGTACTCTAGAAATGTGAGGGGGGGAAAAAGCAGTCATTTCAACTAAGGAATCAGGGAAATACTTCTCAACTGGTGCAGACTCAGGCTCAGAGAGGTGGAAGTGACATGCAGAAGGACAGTGGGAGGGAATTCACTTCTTAGAAAACATCCCCCATGTTCTTCCTACCCTTGACCATCAGAGTTCTGAGAACAAATATGTTATTACAGTTACTCAGTACGGAAATATCAGGAATACACAAGATACGACAGGTTCCGTTTGTACCAAAGTTGATACAGTCCTTTTTCTCCCTTTTAATTAGCAGATTTTAAATTTAACATTACTAGGCTAATAAGAAATAGATTTCCCTTCCTAAGCCCTTGTTCTTAGGTTGTTTTTCATTAATATCTTCTTAATTACGAAGACAAGAAGGAATGGAATTGATTCGTTGTAATTACCTAGAAGAATGGAAGGAATGTTTTTAAAAACTTAAGTCACTGTCAATCTAGAATTTCGTTGTTAGTTACTGTTTTTATATTGTCTAGCATTAATATACTGTATTAAATGTTCACTAGTTACCCTCATATTCACTGTAATTATTCTGAATTAGTCAGAAAAGGCCTTACAGAGTACCGTGGTATCTCGTTTCCAGACTGATACATAAAGGTAAGAAGAAATGAAATAGACACTTAGACTGATAATAAGAGTATAGCAGATTTTTGAAAATCCAGTTACTGAAAATTGCTTTTGAATAGTGCAGTTTTTTAGTTTTAATAATGTTTATACTGGCCGGGCGTGGTGGCTCAAGCCTGTAATCCCAGCACTTTGGGAGGCGGAGGCGGTTGGATCACAAGGTCAAGAGATCGAGACCATTCTGGTCAACATGGTGAAACCCCGTCTCTACTAAAAATACAAAAAATTGGCTGGGCATGGTGGTGCATGCCTGTAATCCCAGCTGCTCGGGAGGCTGAGGCAGGAGAATTGCCTGAACCCAGGAGGCGGAGGTTGCGGTGAGCCGAGATCGCGCCTTTGTACTCCAGCCTGAGTAACAAGAGCGAAACTCCGTCTCAAAAAAAAAATAATAATGTTTATACTGCAATATAGTGTCTGTGAAAGATTATAGCATTGTTACTCTTTTTTTTCTTAAGCAGGTGTTTTAAGAATTTAAAGGTTTATATGTTGTTTTAATTTGGGTTTTTTGTTTTGTCTTTTCAAGTTCACATATATAGTTACATGAGGTTTTACAACGTGAATATTTCGTCCTTTGGCTAGCAAGGAGATTTTCATAATGGAATTTCAGACCCTATTAAATAACCTTTTTTTTTTGCAAGCTATTCTTGATCTCTGGTTTTTAGATTTTCATTTTGGTATATCTACTTTCCTTATTACTTTCTTTTTTAGAAATGAATGTATTTTGACAGTACCATACTAAAAAAGGCCTTAATTTATATGAGTTAGTTTTAGAAAATAAATTTGCTTGTTTGATTTTTGAATTCTTCAGCCTGGTATTTGATATGTTTAGATAGTGTATGCAGGAACAATTTTTCTGAAGTTTTCAGTGCTGGGGTCAGAATGCATATGGTGCTATCATCCTGAGATTGTACACTTGCAAATGTAGATATGTTTTGAGCAGGCCAAAATATCCTGCATTCCTCAGTCTCTCTTAAACCCAGTGACCCAGTATACACTCTTTGTTTCTAAGTTATTATAATTTTTAATGACTCTTGTAGAAATTTTCCCGCTTCTTTATGTCCTGCTCAGTACTGTGTATGAAGTTCAAGGTTGGGTTTGGTCTCATGTTAAAAATGTAACATTGAACGTTGTTATCTGGGCAAGTCTTTATGAACTTTTCATCCTAATGGTGCACTGATCTTACATTTCTGACTTTAGTATTATTAAAAAGATTCATGCATATAATTGTTCTTTGGAATTCCTCTTACCGAAAGAGGGCAGCCCTCAAGTATAGTTAAGTTAACCTAAAACAGCATATCTCTAAATCTTAATATGGTCTATTTTTTATTAAAAAGCTCTAATTCCATTGAACCAAAGTACCACGGTTACTTAATTGGCTCCTATTTTGAGTTGTTTCAAGTCTTCCTCTTTAAAATAAAATAATATACATATGAAATATTTTTATATTTATATTAAAATATGATGTATTTGTTATATTCTAAATGATTTCCTAAATTTCCAGTTTTGAAGTGAAATTACTGGATCAGAAAATGTAATTATGACTTTCAAAGGATTTCTAAGTGCTTTATCAGTTTATGTGTATATCACTTTTGTAGAAACTAAGGTTGAATAGTTACATTCTATGTTATAAAAGAAAATTTAGAATAAATTTAGTTTACACCCTTTCATGTTATAGTCTTGAGGAAGGTGGCAACATGGTATACTGGAAAATCCTCATGCCCTAAAGTGTCCATTGCCTGTAACAAGTTAGCTTCTCTCCTGTATTCCTGAAAGGGTTCTATTTAGGGACTATCCTTGGTAAAATTGAGATAATAGTCACTCACATCTTTTTCATATCCTCAGTATAGCATTAAAACTGTGTGGTGCCTTGTGCAAATCACTTGCAATCTTAAACTCACTTTAGAAAGGAGATACTATAATCTGCCTTCCAGGATGGTAATACTGCTTTCAAGTTTGATTCAGTTGTTATCTAAGGTGTTTAACTGTTTTATAGAAGTCAGTCATTATTAATATTACTACTTCATTGCTTAAATGTTTACTTTATCAGGAAACAGTATAATAGGGGGAGTTAGAATACTAGATTTGAAGTCACAAAGTGCCTGGACTTGGAATTTTAGCTGTGCCCTTTAGCTGTGGTAGTGGGCAAATTACCCTCTTTAGTGTCAAGTTTCTCAAGTATAAAATGAAGTTGTCATAGCAATAAAAATTAAATGAGTCTATATTTAAAAGTGATTAACACATTTCCTAACACATTTTAAGCATCAATAAATGTTTTCAGTAACTGTTGTTATATGATTATTGTACTAGTTCATTATTACTGCATAAGAAATTCAAAGCCTAGTGGCTTAAAATAACAATACATGTTTATTATCTCCTTGTTTCTGTGAGTCAGAAATTCAGCAGCAGCTTAGCTGGGTGGTTGCAGTCAAGCTGTCATCAGGGGCTGTGATCATCTACATATTATTTTGAACCTAATCATTATAAATTTTATATTTCTCAGACTATGTCTTCAGCAGTGGTGCAGTTATATGCAGCAGATCGGAACTGTATGTGGTCAAAGAAGTGCAGTGGTGTTGCTTGTCTCGTTAAGGACAATCCACAGAGATCTTATTTTTTAAGAATATTTGACATTAAGGTGAGTTTTCTTTTGCTTTTACTTTAAACTCGAGGTGAATAAGTTTTCTGTATCAATTATAATTTAGCTTAGATTTATTTGCTTATCCTTTATGTGATATTTATTTATTTATTTATTTATTTATTTTTTTGAGACGGAGTTTCGCTCTTGTTACCCAGGCTGGAGTGCAATGGCGCAATCTCGGCTCACTGCAACCTCCGCCTCCTGGGCTCAGGCAATTCTCCTGCCTCAGCCTCCCTAGTAGCTGGGATTACAGGCATGCGCCACCATGCCCAGCTAATTTTTTGTATTTTTAGTAGAGACGGGGTTTCACCATGTTGACCTGGATGGTCTCAATCTCTTGACCTTGTGATCCACCCGTCTCGGCCTCCCAAAGTGCTGGGATTACAGGCGTGAGCCACCGCGCCCGGCCCCTTTATGTGATATTTAAAATTGTACATAAACTAATATTAGAAGAGTGAAGTGGCCAGGCTCGGTGGCTCACACCTGTAATCCCAGCCCTTTGAGAGTCCAAGGCAGAAGGATCACCTGGGCTCGGGAGTTCGAGAGCAGCCTGACAACATGGAGAAACCCCGTCTTTACTAAAAGTACCAAATTAGCTGAGTGTGGTGGCTTATGCTCAGGAGTCTGAGGCAGGATAATCACTTGAATCGCAGAGGTGAAGGTTTCGGTGATCGGAGATTGCGCCATTGCACTCCAGCTTGGGCAACAAGAGCAAAACAAAAAAAAAAAGAAGAGTGAAGCTTGATTTTTAGATTTTGACATATGGAATTCATGACCAAATGAGAGCATGTCCTAAGCCAGCATGTGAATAGTTTCCTATTTTATCTTTCTGCTGCTACCATGCATTAAGACTTTTTTAAAAATTATGCCTATTGGGTCTTGGGCTTTCTCTACACACTATATTTTTTAAATGATACTCTTATTCTATCTTTTTCATTATAGAATAGCACACATAACTTTGGGAGGCTGAGGTGGGTGGATCACGAGGTCAAGAGATCAAGACCATCCTGGTCAACATGGTGAAACCCCGTCTCTACTAAAAATACAAAAAAATAGCTGGGTGTGGTGGTGTGTGCCTGTAATCCCAGCTACTCAGGAGGCTGAGGCAGGAGAGTTGCCTGAACCCAAGAGGCGGAGGTTGCGGTGAGCCGAGATCGCGCCATTGCACTCCAGCCTGGGTAACAAGAGCGAAACTCCATCTCAAAAAAAAAAAAAGAATAGCACACATAATCTATTCAGGGAACAACAAAATAATATTTTAGCTCAATATGTACTATTACTTAGCCCAAGTTTAAAACATTTCAATATCTATCAAAATCTGTTTCCTACTCATTTTTTCTTATGTTGTTTCTCATGATAGATATATTCAGAGTTTCATAGCTTTATATCCCTCACTCCCGATCATAAATCACATCCAATCATAAATCAGATTAGATACCGTTTGTTAGGTACTCATTTCTTATAGTTGTCATAAAACTATCATTTTGCTAAGGTGACATCTCCATTATTTTTTTAAAAAACCTTTCTGTAAGTAAGCCTCCATGATTGATATTTACATGTGGCAATAAATGTAATAAGATTTTAATTATAAAAAGCTAAAACTGCCTCTAAACTCCTGGGCACTAATATGACCTGAATAATAGTCAGAGATTTTTACACCTCTGGCCTCAGCTTTATTTGTAAAATGAGATAACAATTTTTGGTCTGTTATAAAGAATTTCACTGAGATTAAATAAGATCTCAGTTACAATATTTGGTAAATTAGTACTTCTTTTTTGTTGTTGATTTATTTTTTGAGACAGGGTCTTGCTCTTGCTCTGTCACCCAGGCTGGAATGCACAGCTTACCGCAGCCTTGATGATCTGGGCCCAAGCAGTCCTCCCACCTCAGCCTCCTGAGTAGCTGGGACTACAGGCGAATGCCACCAAACCTGGCTAATTTTAGCATTTTTTTGTAGAGATGGGGTTCTGCTGTTTTGTTCAGGCTGGTTTCAAACTCCTGGACTCAAGTACGCCTCCTGCTTCAGACTCCCAAAGTGCTGGGATTACAGGCCTGAGCCACCAGTTCCAGGCTAAATTAGTACTTAAATTAGTGCTTCTTAACATCTGTTTCCAAGACAGCTGAGCGATATGGCATGCTCCTGTCACTAGCAGTGGCTTACTATGGCTTACTAAACACATACTATGTTGGGGGTGGGGATTCTGGGGGTGGGGAACACATACATAGTTTGAAAGAAATCCCTAAGTCATTGAGAAGCACTATTCAGAAATGGCGTACACATACTAGCATACTACTCCACTAAGTAGAAAGGAATTCCATTGCAGTGGTTATATAATGTGTGAACAGTGAATTTTACATGTTTTTAAATTGTGGTCTAGATAGAACCTTGCATTTCTGAATAGGGCAGTGACTATCTTTCTCTAACCACTTATTTCCAATTGTAGATAACTACTGCTGAACACTCATTAACTAGTCACCTTTGGTATTAAGGTTAAACATATTTTTTGTACTATGGCAATAGATATGGCAATCATCATGGCACTCTTATTCATATTTAGCCTTGATACATTTTAATTATCAGTCTCTTTCTGCATCGTGATTAATACTACTTATACCAGTATATAATTAGAAGGCTACTCTGAAAAAGTTAAGAATTTGAAGATGGTTAATGAGCAGTACAGTACAAGGAAGGTATACTTGACCCTCCTACATCTCTAAAATTGAGAAAAAGAACATAAAAGTATGCCTGTAATATACTTGATAGTACATCATCTAAATATTGCTGGTGGAACTGTGCTTTGGTAATCAGTGCGTGTACAAAAGTATCCTATTCCTTCTATGTAACATTGATGACCTAGTAATTATTCTGGTTATGTGTTTGACCAAGTAACTGAATTTGGAAATGGTTGGTTAGTGAGATCATATCTTAGCTGAATTAAACTCACTTGATATGTAGGTTTTATGAAAGATAGGTTATCCGGTGTTTAGAGTTTTAAGATTACTGATTAAATTATATGACACTACTTATAAATGTTATATGTGTGCATATAAAAGTTATTTTTCATATAAACAGTTATCTTAATAGGAGTCATCTGCTTCATTTTATTTCTAGAGATTATGTTTTGGTAGTTCTTATTATAATATTTGACTTTTTTCTAGGATGGGAAACTATTGTGGGAACAAGAGCTATACAATAACTTTGTATATAATAGTCCTAGAGGATATTTTCATACCTTTGCTGGAGATGTAAGTCGTATTTTTCTTTATCGCCATCTTTACTTTTCTCATTGCTTGCCTTTTCTAGTCCATATTATTTATAGAGCCTTAATGAAAGATCAAATTCACTTTACTATTTTATGTTTTTGCTTAAGATGAAATATTCAAATTAGTATTTGTGTCTGCTATGATAGGTAACTTCTCTAATAGTAATCTTTTACTTGACCTTCTCCATGCTTTTTGTGTTAAGTTATTCAGATCATAAAATAATGTCTTACCTGCTAGTAAAGTTAACCTTTCCTTCTTTAGAAATATACTTCTATTGCTCATTGTTTTTATGATATAAAGCTAAATTTGTACGTTTTGTTGTTTGCCCTTTTTGATGAACATATTTCAGACTTGTCAAGTTGCTCTTAATTTTGCCAATGAAGAAGAAGCAAAAAAATTCCGAAAAGCAGTTACAGACCTGTTGGGCCGCCGACAAAGGAAATCTGGTAACCCTTTTTTTTTCTTTTTTAAATTATTTATATTGGGCCAGCAAACTAATGCACATGGGATAAGTGTGGTCCAGCAAACTAATGCACATGGGATAAGTGTGGTCCACTTCCTGTTTTGTAAATAAAGATTTATTGAAACTCAGCTATATTCATTGGTTTACATGTTGTCTTTGGCTACTTTTTTTTTTTTTTGCCACAACACATTTAAAATAGTTATACCTAGATAAATATACACAGTTAAATAAATGGTCCTCAAAGCCTAAAATATTACCTAAAATATTTACTATTCACAAAAAAATTTGGTGTTCCTTACCTTAAAATAAATAATATTTTTGTTAAGAACTATTTTTTTTAGATTTACTGAAGGACTGATTTCAGTAACCTTTCTTGTTGATAAAATTTTATATATCTTGACTTTTAATTTGCATTTGTAATAACATTGTTTGTAATATAAAGTTTTAAGAGTATTTTGTAAACAAAGACTTTAGGCAAGCTTAGAAGCAAATAAGCGGAGTTGCTAACAATATCTATAAACAATGCCTTGTCTCTCTATTTTGTTCCTAATACTGTATACTATAAAACCCATAAGGAACTTAGTTTAGTGTGAGACAACTGCAACACATATAAAACAATTATAGAACAATGCAGGGTAATATAAAGCTTTAAGCTAATTGGTATAGAACTATTGTTTGACAGCAGTGTACCAGGCCTTTCTTTTGTAAGTGAAGAAGAGTGATTAGGAAAGGAGAAGCTCTCCAACACCATCTTAAGCAGATCAGTTTCAGGAGAAAAGACATGTAGGGGTTGAAATTGACGAACAGGTACCCTTAAAACTAGCCATGCCCTTACGTACTCTTTGAAAAGTCTTTCTATACATCCAGGGGTACGTGTTACCCCAATTTAAAGATCATTGTATTTAAGGTGTGCTTTACCAGTAAGAGGAAAAGGAAGCCAAGAAAAAAGAAACATATCTGAAAAACATCGACATAAAATCATGTCATCTCTACTTTATATATGTTTATTGTTATTTTAGTAGGTTTCCAAGAGGGAGATGAGGTAAAAAATGAAAATAAAGTGAGCTAAGTTGTTGCTTTACTATTGCCATCTTACGATATTCTACTCATAATGAGTGAATAGGAGAATTATTAGGGGCCCATTATTTTTGTTACTTTTGGGGTCCAATGGCATTTACCACTTGATTTTATGCTAGGAAAGGATTTAATGCTATGATATTGAAACTCAACTTTAGGAATAATTCAATGCCTGTTTCAGTGGCATGCTGTGGTGGTAAGCCAGGGGCTTTTCGGGTTCCTTTCAGTCAAAACATGACATTTTCAATGTACAAAAGAGTAAAAATATTTCTGAAAATATAAAGTAATTGGTTTTGGAATTGGTAAGTTAAAGGTGTCTTTCACCTGGCACCGGAATTCTATTTTATATGGTTTCTAAATTTTTAGGCAAAGTGTTCCAAAACCAGAAAATATAACATTAGGAAAGCAGCTGAGTTATTTTGGGATAGCCCTTCATACTGTCAGACTCCATCTTTACCTTTCTTTAACTGAGAAACATGGGGTCCAGCTTGTGGAACAACAAAGAATTCATCTATTTAATTTTCCTCACGGTAGTCATTTAGTAGTGGAAGCCAGCTGTCCCGTCCTCTTTATTTTCTTCTCTTATTTAGCCTAATCGATCCCACTTTCTTGAAATATTCATATAATATAGTTTATAGTCTTTTTCATCTTGAGTACTGTGCTCTGAATCTACTATAGCCTTGATGTCTTTTTCAGAAGTACTCCATATGTAGTCTGACCAATACATCACTTGATTTAATTAAACACAGTTCTGCTAACATTTCTAGCAAATGCCTTATACCATTAGCCCCCATTCTGGTTTGTTCAACCAACCATCCCCCCCTTTTTTCATATATATTGCCCTCAAGTAGGATGGTGTCATATATCTAATTGTGTCTTAGAAGGTATACTCTAAACTGTATATTTTCCTATTTGTGTCATCTACCAGCTTAAACATTTTCTCTCTGAGTACATAAATAACATCACCTTGGAAATTGGTGATTGATAGGTATTGATATAGAGAGGACATGCTTATTTCAAACGTTTCAGAAAGCTACTTCATCAGATTATCAGAGTAATACAGTTATATATCCCATTGCTAAGATTTTTAACTTGCCTACTAAATAAATCCTACTGATTTTGGTTTATGGTCACTTATAAGCTAATTATCATATTTCATCATTTATTTATATAATTTCAGTGAATTTTATGTTAGAAAATCTTTGGAAATTACATTTTTAAAAAATTCTTCTACTTTGGAACTTTCTTAAAGCCAAAATAGTGTTTTGGTATTAAGAGTATGAATGCAGTACTGGCATGTAATCATGATATGTAAGAGTATGAATGCAATTAATTGATGGAAATTTCCTAAATTTTTCTCTTACCTTATTGGTTGTAGCTTTCAGCAGTTATCTGGTCTGTCTCAGTGCCCAGAGCTCTCTGAGTATTCTCATTCCTTTTGTGCTTTCATCCAGTCTTACAGTTCTGAATACTGTATGCTGATGATTCCCAAAGTTTTGTCTTCAGTACTGACACAGCTTCTCTGACCTTCAGAATAGTTAGGTGGCAGAATAGCCTTTAGACTTAACATGTGTGGGCAGAATATTTGATCCATGTCCTGTATCCCGAACCCCAGCTCCACTCAGACCTGTTCTTGTTCTTCTACTAATTTTCCTTGTCTCAGTAAAAGGCATTTATTTCGTCTTATCTCCCAGGCTTACCATGGTCCCTTATAAATACCCTATCAGAGTCTTATTGGCTTTGCTTTCAAAAACATGTCCTATCTGACTATTTTCTACCACTTTTTCTGCTACCATCCTGATCTGTCAACTGGACTGCCACACTAGCTCTCTGACTGCTTCTTCTAAATCCTTTTTACTATCTCTTTTCTGTGCAGTAGCCAGAGTAAACTTTTAGAAATGTAGATTAGATTATATCACTTTCTCTATTTAAAATTCTATAAGAGCTTCCTGTCATATACATATAAAATCTGTAGTCCTTAACTATCGCCAGTGGAACCCTGTATGATCTAGTTCCCGACTTTCCTTCTGACTTGTCTCCTTTCATGTGCCACTTGCTCACTCCAGTCCAGTCTTCCTGAGGTTCTTTCCTGTTGCACCATTCTTGGGGCCTTTAAATATATGGTTCCCTCCTTATTTTATTTAGATCTCTGCTTAAATGTCAGGTCTTCTGAAAAACCTTCCTTCATCATTCATACATCAATTTAGGAATAAGAGTTTAAGTGAGTTATTTTTTTATATGTTGATGTTGCCTTACATATATTTAATAACGTTCTTCTAATTTATTTTTTAACAGAGAAAAGACGAGACCCCCCAAATGGTAAGCTTTTTGATAATTATTAATCTTTTGAGATTTTAGATTACAGTTTAATCCTTGTGGTAAGATGTACCGTACATTAGTAAGTTATATTTAGTATCTATGATCAAATTATACAGTTTATTCTGTTCTCATTTTTAATTAATGACTGACAGATGAGACTTAGGAAACAATATTCTTCGAATTTTTCTAACATGAAGAAAGAATACTTAGGGTGAAGATGAAGATGACTAATACTTAAATCTTAATTCTGGATTCACATTTGACTAAGTATACAATCTGGCCTTAAAATTTTTCCCAGAGGCAGCACATTTTGTCTAGCGTATTTGTTAATTTCCTACTTTAAGATTTATCCTTTATTCTTATTTCAAAATATTATTTCACACTGGTTATATGTTATATGAAGCCCTTTCAGAATGAACACCTGCTATAGTATATTTAGAACTAATTTAACTGCATATAATGCTCTTTAATTTGATAATGATCACTTGAAGTATTAGGAATTCATTTTTTAAAAAATATTGAATACCAGAGAGTAAAAGCAGAATACCAAGATGTAAAAGATAAGGTCTCAGGGGTAGAAATTCTTACCCTAGACTTTATAAACTCCCTGAAATTATGTGCCAAATATGTTCTTTTCTCTGGAGAGAGAGGATCTTTGGCTTTCATTGTATTTAAATGAGGTCTCTGATTCTATGAAGGTAAAGAACATTCTCCATGACCCTTCATTATAATAGAGAAAATACCTGCTGCTTTTTAAAAGCCTACTTCAGATCCTCTTATCAGAACCTAGAATGAGTATTCAAGGAACACTTACATACAGAGTTCTTAATATATGATAGCTGTTGGTGATTGTTGGTGTTTGTTTCTTTTGAAGATATGTTGCCTTTGATTTTGTCCTGAAATTACTTTTCCTGATGTAGAAACATGAACCAGATGTTGCTGTATTAAATTTTGGGTTATTTACCTTATTAGTTTTTTAAATGCACAACTGCCTTCAGTAGTGCTTAGCAGATACCAAATATTGTATAGTTTCCCTTTCTCTTTTGAATAGAAATTTAGGGCTGCTGTGGGAATTGAGGCAATCAAAACTTAGCATAGTGCTTAATAAATGTTAGTTATCCTGATGAAGATAATGACAATAGTAATAGCAACTACTATTTAATGATCTTTTACTACCTGCCAGGCACTGTTGAGAAACCTTCTGAAGTAGCTCCATTATCTCTCTTTTATAGATAAGGAAACTGAGGCACAGATAGGTAACTTCCTCATGGTCTCATAACTAGTAAGTAGTGAAGCAAGATTCAGCATCAGATGATTTGACTCAAGAGCCTGTCTCCTTAACCACTGTTACGTCAAGATGATTTTGAAGGCAAAACTGAGACACAGGGTAAATATCATGTCTCAGGATATATAAACTAGTACATGGCAGAGGCAAAAAAAAACAGAAGCAGTTGAGTTACAAGGTGTTCATCTGTGAACTTTTAATGTAGTATTAGAAATTTTTCTTGATGTAAGCCCAGTATTTTAACCTTTTTGAATTTGTTACATTATTTTGAGTTTGGAGAGTATATACAGTATTGAGTACCAACAAAGACTTTCTAGTTGTGCTATTCAAACACTCTGGAGAAAGTGCCCCAGATTTTTAAAGTGTAGATGCTGTAGAAATAATAGAATTAAGGTTGTAAATACATGTATTCATGTTGATCAGTTCCAGGATCCCCCCCATGGATACAAAACTTTATAGACACTCAAGTCTGTGATACAAAATGACATGGTATTTGCATATAACCACACATTCTCCTATATGCTTCAGATCCTCTCTAGATGACTCATACTACCTAATACAATGTAAATGCATGCTAGATACATTTGATCCTAGCCAAAAGACTGAGAAGCAGTGCTGGGTAAATAGTTGTTATACTGTATTGTCTGGGCAATAATAGCAAGAAAAAAAGATCTGTACATGTTTGGAACAGAAGCACCCATCCATTTTGTTTTAATCCCAGTTGGTCGAATCCATGGATATGGAACTGTGAATATGGAGGACTGACTGTACTTTATTTCCCAAAATCATTTATAAAATGAATTTCTGAAGAGGCACGTAGTTTCCATGAATAGATAGAATTTGAAATTTCTTTATGTAACAGTGGTTTTTCATAATTTTCTTGCCCCACTAAGAGAGCCACTTAGAATTAAATGTAGTTTCTTTCTCTGAGTTGGCTGTTGGTTTTAAATCTTTAGTTTTAATCATTTGGTTCAGTGGTTTCAGACCTCATTAAATAAATGGAGAGTTCTTTTAAATAGTGTTGTTAAGGGGAAAAATTATACAGCATGTATTACCAGTACATGTATACTTATAAAATATTCATATAATATGGCATTAACATGTTATATACACAAAGAATAAAATAAATGCTGTCTTTCCTCACCAAGTGGAGACCACTGTTTGGGAGGCAGCGTTATTACTTTACTGTATTTGGTGCACCACCACTAGGTGGCAGTGGTTCCCTGGACTGTGTCTTGCAGTAGCTATGCAGGTGCTTTGTCCCAGATCCTTATTTAATCAGTTTGCCAGACCTTTTCAAGTTGTAACTATTAAAAAGATACTTTATGTGGAATTTACATACATTTCTAAAATGCAGTTCAGTATCTTTCTTGCTTACTCATTTCTTTATTGGTCAATCTCACATTTTAGCATATATACTTTCCAGTGATTTGTTTTCAGCTTCATGACTGGCCTGACATCAGAGGCCTGTAGTCCACCTGTTTTTCAATTGTTTTACCTTGGTGAGACTTCTTTGCTTTTTATGTAATTAATGGGAAACTTGAGTTCTTTTAGATATAAAATTAACTAGACATGTCTGTTCACAACAATATTTAAAAACCTTTTCCTGCAATGGTTGTCCTTGATCAGAAGGAGATAATTTGTTTTTTGTTGTTTGAAAAAGAAGAAAAACGGCCCCCCTTCATTATATATGTACATAGTAGTTGTTCTTAAGATGAATATAATTTCATAAATGGAATAATTAAACTTTACTAGAAATGACTTGAGTGTGTACATCTGTTACGAAATCTTTTATATCCTTTACATTAAAAAATGGCTCTATACTTTAAATAGGTTATCACTTCTTTTTAGTTTGGTTGCTTGAAACATACTCAGTTTGGCTTTAGAATACCATTTTAAACTTATATCCTGACATCTTCAAGCTCTAAAGAAAATAACTATGGTCAACAGAAATAACCAGGTAACTAAACTCTTGAACGTGTTAGAATCCATTTTTTCTAAATTCTGGAAGTTGTTAGTAAACATTTATTGAATAGTTGTTGGACCACAGACCAACAAAACTGATAAATTGGTAAAGAAATAATGTATTATGGCATTTGTAAAATTCGCAGTGTCATCCACCTTGTAGTTTGACTTTCATGTAAGAGGTAGAATAGTTAATTGGAAGGGTAGTAGACTAGGAACCAAGATACTGGAGTACACCTTTTCTTCTGTCACAATTGTATGACTTTATAAAGATCACCTAACTCTTACCGTCCTTTGTTTTCATTAATAAAATGGAAGGTGATTTTGAAAAGAAACTAATTTTTCATTTAATACTGATTTTCTGTATATCTCTGTAATCTGGATTTTTCTATGTAGACTTCCTTAAACAATGTTTAACTAGTACTAATGAAATTCATCTATAATGACTTAAAGAGATCATGTTGATGCATAACAATATGTCCATGCCTGATTTTTGGGTAGAGGGAAGAGGGGTTTGACTATAGTAGGAGTTATTCATTCCACATAACACTTATATTTGTCCTTATCCATACTCTTGAATCTACTTCAGAGACAGCTGAATTACTTTCTCTACTGAGTTATAAATCAAGGTTATAAGAAGCTTATCTTTCAAAAATATACTAGCTTGGATAATTTAAATCATTAAACTTAACTTCATGCAACTCTGTTTCCAGGTTAGTCATCTGTAGTATAATAAATAGGTGGCTTTTACATAAGCTAAAGTGGCAAAAAATATTTTTTCTTGTTTTTTGCTTTTATATTTTACTGGTGAGTCTGATTGTTCTTTATACTTGCTGTTTGAATACTTAGTTCAGGAAAGATCATATGAATAAAGAGAGTTTCTAATTCTAATACTCCTAATTCTGTTTTAATTCTTAAATTTTACTAAGATATAAAGATAAGAAGGTAAAAGTTATTTGTAACATCTTATTGTGGATAGTGTTGTTGATGCTGATTGGTAAAGATAAGTTAGAAGAAGAGAGAGGGCAGAAAGGGAGTAATGAGAAGTAAAAGCAGACCACCAGATAAGTCTGTGAAGGTTTGAGTATAACCTCAATTCAACCTTCTAGCCCCCACAGTCTGGGTATTCTCAGAAAGTCCTTTATTTTGTATAACTACAGTAAATGCTGAAATCTGATACCTGAACAACTTTGAAAACTCACATCCTAATCTAATCAGCCTTTCAGGTCATTCTGCACTGTTTAACTCACTGTTACTTCTTGATCTAATTTTTCAGATTATTCCTGGACAATGAAAAAGCTTTTAATGATTTTATCTATATTATTCACTAGCTTTCATTTTTTCCAATAAATTATTTCTCATCAATATCAGCAACTTCCCATGGAATTTTTTAGTGAAATTGTAAATAAAACTTTGGGATTATTTACATATTATATTTATATATAAATAGAGTTTGAATATTAACAGGTAAGAGTTGAATTTTGGTAATACTAAATTTCCAGATTATTTACTTTTTTTATAAGGTAACATGACTTTCATAAATTTGTTTTAGCTCTGTTTTGTCTTTAATAGTAGAGTTGGGGAAAAAATAGGTTATATACAGTTTACCCATGTAAATGAACATTTTTTTTCCAGATAATTTTAGTAAGTAGGACATATTGGCGGTTTGGGGCATAATTAAAGAATTACAGTCAAATTGGAATTCAAGGATCACCTAATATACATTAGCCTTAAGATCTGAATTTGCCATTTATTGATTATGTTGGGGATCCCCAAGACCATCCTCAGAGGTGGTGATTCACCCGAAGGACTTACAGGACTCAATCAATATATAGTTGTACTCATGGCAAAGATTTATTACAGTGAAAAAATATAAAACAAAATCAGCAAAGGGAAAGACACATGGGATGAAAGTGTAGTAACAAAGGTTGCACCTAATTCCTCCAATAATGAATTGTGACAACATGTGAAATGTTGTCTAAAGGAAAAGTTTGAGACTTGGTGCCCAGGGTTTTTGTTGGAGGCTAGTTACATAGATATCCCCTATCTTGTAGTTACCAAGATCCCAGACGGAAAGTTGATGTTTGACATAAACTGCATTGTTAGCACAAACATTTTAAGCACAATAAGCCCACCTCATCAGGGAATAGTGGGAACCCTATCCAAGTTCCCAAATGGGTCAACTGAGGTCCAGCCTTGCAGGTGGCCCTTTCTAAGGAGAACAGTCTCAAGTGTGCTGTGTTAAACTCTTCTACACAACGATGTTAGTACTTCATATATTTTGGAAGTTGTCGTAAATGTAGTCACCTCAGAGGAACTTGGTCTCATCAGAGGATTTGTCAGAGAATCATATATAAAAATAGGATCTTTAAGGAACATGTGTTGCCCTTTAGTTGAATTTTTAAGAAATTTTTCAGTTGAATGCTTTGCATACAGACTTTCATACTTTTAAGATCAAGAATTTTATTTTGAATTGTAAGACAAGTTTTGTGCTACATTTAGTACCACTTCTGAAGATACTATTAATAATATGGAAAGGTGCCGATATTTTTACTGTTGATTCTTGCACAAGATGAGTGCTTTAAGAATGTTTGCATTTTTTAAGTTTTTAAATTCTGTACTTCTGGTAGTCAAGGTGTATGTGTACTGGTGGGGAAAATATCATTGGACTTAAGTATGCCAGTTTTGGAAAAAATGGTAATAATTTTGTATAAGTACCCTTTTTCCTCTTGACTAATCAAGTTTAAGCAAAAAGTTAAGCCTATATTTCTCTGTTAAATTTAAAACAAAGTAGATACGTATTTTACTTTCTTTATCCTTGTTACGAGATATGTTTCACTTAACCATTGAGCAATGTGTTAGGTATGAGGCTATTATAATCAAAATATAAGTGATCAGACTAATTATATTTAAATTCTAGCTGGAAGTTCATGTTCTTTATGAAATTTAATGTTATAAAAATGTAAGTTTGCTTTAAAATAGTGCATCTACATTAATTTCTTTAGGAACTTACAGGTTTTAGAAATTTAGGCAGCACTTTATGAAAAAATTAATATGCAAGTTTAAAATAGAAATAATTTATGATAAAGTGATCCTACTTCAGGAAATATATTTACATTCTGAATTGTGGTTAGATATAATTGTTATCTTAAATTATATCACTTTCATATTATTTTGGTTTTATTTGCAGGTCCTAATCTACCCATGGCTACAGTTGACATAAAAAATCCGGAAATCACAACAAATAGATTTTATGGTTCACAAGTTAACAACATCTCCCATACCAAAGAAAAGAAGAAAGGAAAAGCTAAAAAGAAGAGATTAACCAAGGCAGATATAGGAACACCAAGCAATTTCCAGTAAGACAGTTCTTTTGTTTTCTCTTCTGATTTATTCATTGCTGCTCTTGATTTTTAACTTGTTAAAAGATTTTCTTTTCCTTTTGGGAGGGGACGTACATTTAACACTTGAATAGCTTTTTTTTTTTTGAGACGGAGTCTCGCTCTTTTTACCCAGGCTGGAGTGCAATGGCGCAATCTCGGCTCACCGCAACCTCCGCCTCCTGGGTTCAGACAATTCTCCTGCCTCAGCCTCCCCCCGAGTAGCTGGGATTGCAGGTGTGCGCCACCATGCCCAGCTAATTTTTTTTTTTTTTTTTGTATTTTTAGTAGAGACGGGGTTTCACCATGTTGACCAGGATGGTCTCGATCTCTTGACCTCGTGATCCACTCACCTCAACCTCCCAAAGTGCTGGGATTACAGGCGTGAGCCACTGCACCCGGCCTTGAATACCTTTTTAGCTATGCACTTGGTTAGCGTTTTTGTGTGTATGTGTTTTAAGGCAGTTATTCAATAGACGTTCTTTGTACCTTACAGTTTATTTACTTTTTCAACTATCAGAAAAGAAAAATTAGATGAAGTTGTTTCTTCAGCTAATTGTTGGACATAAAAATGATTTCTCACTTTGCTCTATAAATAGCACTTAGAAATTGTCTACTGATACTGCCTAGGAGCAGTAAAAACCTCTGGTATTTATATAATATATTTCAAGAAGTTCAATATGCATTATTTTATTCGCTTATTATGAAACCCCTATCCTCTCATATATGTAATGCTTGGACTCTTGTGCTAATTTGACAGTTAAGGAAATAGATGCTCAGAGAGACTGTACAAAAATTTTAAGTTTCAGGCTGGGCGCGGTGGCTCACGCCTATAATCCCAGCACTTTGGGAGGCCGAGGCGGGTGGATCACAAGGTTAAGAGATCAAGACCATCCGGGTCAACAAGGTGAAACCCCATCTCTACTAAAAATACAAAAATTAGCTGGGCATGGTGGTGCGCGCCTGTAGTCTCAGCTACTTGGGAGGCTGAGGCAGGAGAATTGCTTGAACCCAGGAGGCGGAGGTTTCGGTGCGCCGAGATCACGCTATTGCACTCCAGCCTGGGTAACAAGAGGGAAACTCTGTCTCCAAAAAAAAAAAAAATTTTTAAGTTTCAATTAGTAGCAGAGTCAGGGCTAGAATCCTGTTCTTCTGACTTTTTGTATATAATAGTTTTTATCATAATATGGTTATGTTTGTGAGAACTATTAGTTCAGGCCAAAACTTCAAAGCCAAATATAGATTGAATTTCATATATATTGTGTTTATAATGCCCTTTGTGAATTTAGTTTTCTATTTTTTTCTATTTTCTACTTTAGGCACATTGGACATGTTGGTTGGGATCCAAATACAGGCTTTGATGTAAGTATGTTTTCAAGTCATATACATTATAACTCTAAATATATGGAGCTATATTGGCCTAGATTTTTATTTTTATTATTCGTTTTGGGGTTTTCTAGTATCTATTTGAATGTGCGTGTGTTTTGTGTATATATACAACTGAGGTTTAAACCCATATTATTGTTATGTCATTCATGGCTAAGTCTCTATAAAGACTTGGACCAAGGTTTTGTGTACCTTGGCTTTATACACTGTATAAATAAAATCCTTGTGCTTTGAAAGCCAAGAGAAGAAAATCATTTCTGCTAAGTAATAATTTCAGGGGAATGTATGCCAAATTGCTAGAAAGGAGTACAATCAAATTCTGAGTATTCAGTTGTTGAATTACCTAGATTTTTTTCATTCTCCTATTCTTTTTGGCAGTTTTGCCATTGCTTTATAGAGCTGTGAAACTGCTGGCAAAAATTAATCAGTTTGGATAAATTATTTTAAAGAGAAATTTGTTTTGTGATTGGAGTAAAAAATCCTCTTGGTTATTTTTGTTATAGCTACAATGTTAACTCTACAAACATACTGAGCACCTCTTTGTGCTGGGCATTGTGCAAGATGCTTGGAATTACAGGAAGATCCTTGCTCTCAGATTTTCTAATTAATTTACTTTTTTTGTGTTTATTCCTAATTTTACATACTTAGGACAAGGTAGAATAGATGAGCATTGGAGATGTCTGAATTATGAATAGACTAATAGAAATCTAAATGACATGCCTTTTTTTTGAAGGCGAGGAACAAAAAAGAACAAAATAGGAAATCTATCTGTTCAGTTTTTTTAAATAAGATCTTTTAGTTAGCATGTAAGTAATCATGTTAAAAGTTTATAAAGGTAAAATAATTTCATAAGGACACAGATGAGCCTTAAAATTAGGTTTTTTTTTTAAATTGAGATATATTTTTATAGTTAGCAGTTATCTTCTTTTGTAGTTGAATAATTTGGATCCAGAATTGAAGAATCTTTTCGATATGTGTGGAATCTCAGAGGCACAACTTAAAGACAGAGAAACATCAAAAGTTATATATGACTTTATTGAAAAAACAGGAGGCGTTGAAGCTGTTAAAAATGAACTACGAAGGCAAGGTAACATATTTCTATCAGCATTCTGTTTGGTTTTGTTTTAATCTTTTGAGGTTGGTTTCATGGAAAACAGGTACATTCATATATATATGAACCCTTCCTTGAGCAGAATGTTTAAGTTTATGAAAAACTGATTTGGCCCATCATACTATATCTTAACATTATTTTATTAAAACTAAAAAAATTTGTAAGGTTTTGCTTATTAAGTACTTATAAAAATCCATACAAAATCTTCCAGCTTTTCTATTTTAAAGTAAAAACTTACAGTTGCCTTAAATGTTTTACTTAAGGAATACTGTAAACCACCAGATTTCATTGTAATTCAGAAGTAGTAATTTAAATATAATTACTTTCTAATTAGTAATATAAACATTTTCAGAATATAAATAATATAAATATTAATTTTGAAATACAAATTCTTTTTCTTGGATAAAGTATAAAATTTTCTTGTGTATCTGAGAGCACAATTTACAACCTTTTAAGATTTGATATCTTTTGAAGTACCTTACGTTTTAGTTTTGTCTTAATAATTATCACAGTAAAATGCAGATAAAATACTCTAAATTTTCCAATATAACAGTCATCTTTTTCCTACCTTATTCATTTAGGACTGCTTTCTTTTCTTCTTTTTGCATACTCACAATACTGTAGTTGAGTAAAAGCTCTAGTTAAAACATTCTTCTAAAAAACTTAACTCATTTTAAATTAGGCATTTGGTTTACTTGTGTCTTTTTCCCTGCCAATGTTCATTTAATCTTTGATTCATTGATTGACTCATATATTTTGTAAACATTATTATGCCAGTACTGGTCTCAGGATATTTAGATGTAAAGATAAGGTTTCTGTCATAAAAAATCTTAAGAGTCTCATATGGAAACCAATATGTAAATGAGCATAAGATCGTAATTGGTATTGTGGAAACACAGTGCTAGTTCCACTGAAACTAGCATGATGCTAATTTACTTTGCAAAAAATCTATCTCCAAATACTGTGGTGTTTTTATTTTTTTTTCTTTGGAGACACCGTCTTGCTCTGTCATCCAGGCTGGAGTACAGTTGTGCCATCTTGGCTCACTGTAACCGCCACCTCCTGGTTTCAGGTGATTCTCATGCTTCAGCACCTAAGTATCTGGTATTATAGGTACATGCACTACCACACACCCCACTAATTATTATATTTTTAATAGAAACAGAGTTTTGCCCTGTTTGCCAGGCTGGTCTCAAACTCTTGGTCTCAAGTGATCCTCCTGCTTTGGCCTCCCAAAGTACTGGGATTACAGCCATGAGCCACCACACTCAGCCAAGTTTGTTTTCCTATTCTATCTTAACATTTCCACTTATGTAGGCTAAGAATGCTAATATCATTACTACTAGAATAATAGTAATTTTTGTTGATAACTTTAATTTTGCAGTATATAGAAATTCTCAGTTAATTTGTTAATTATCTGTTCATGTCTCTTGAATAAGCAATTAAGCATTTCAGCCAAGCAACCAGCCTCCCATAGTGCCATTACTAGAATTGCAGACTATTTTTAGACATTATACTATAAAAGTACAAATGTAAATTAGATGACAAAGGCTTACATTTTGAAAGAAAAGTATTATATTTGGGCTTTAGCTCAGATTAATGTGAATGAATGCTATTAAGTTATGCTACACTATGTAATTCTAAATGAATTGATTTTATTTAATAAAAACTAAGTGTACTTGATTCTTTTTAAAGAGGGTGGTATTCATTTATTTTTATTAAAATGCAAAATAATGCTGATTAACAAAATGTTTAATTTCATTGGTGTATTTTCATTCTAAGTTTGTAAAGTAGAAAGTGTTTATTCTCCTTCAGAACTAATGCTGATTCCTAAAAAGTAAACTGTTCTGTTTTAGCTCATATTATTTTTAAGCAACAATAAGAAAGTGATCTTTAGGCTGACAATTCTCAAACGAAATTGTGAGATCATCTGTGCTCAGGTATCTTTGTAAAATAAAATGTGAAGATGAGGCCCTTTTATGATATTATTTGGTTTTTATACATGTTAAAAATGAATTGCTTTTCAGTGTGATTTTTGAGAGAAGAAAAATGCATGTCTTCTTTTTTTCTGTTTGCATTTCAGCACCACCACCGCCACCACCATCAAGGGGAGGGCCACCGCCTCCCCCTCCCCCTCCACACAACTCAGGTCCTCCTCCTCCTCCTGCCAGGGGAAGAGGCGCTCCTCCTCCACCACCTTCAAGAGCTCCCACAGCTGCACCTCCACCACCGCCTCCTTCCAGGCCAAGTGTAGCAGTCCCTCCACCACCGCCAAATAGGATGTACCCTCCTCCACCTCCAGCCCTTCCCTCCTCAGCACCTTCAGGGCCTCCACCACCACCTCCATCTGTGTTGGGGGTAGGGCCAGTGGCACCACCCCCACCACCTCCACCTCCACCTCCACCTGGGCCACCGCCCCTCGCTGGCCTTGGTCTGTCTTCTGACGGGGACCATCAGGTTCCAACTACTGCAGGAAACAAAGCAGCTCTTTTAGATCAAATTAGAGAGGGTGCTCAGCTAAAAAAAGTGGAGCAGAACAGTCGGCCAGTGTCCTGCTCTGGACGAGATGCACTGTTAGACCAGATACGACAGGGTATCCAACTAAAGTCTGTAAGTAAGCTTTTTTTTTTTTTTTTAAGATCATCTGTGATAATGGAATTTTAAAGTAGTTTATTGAAAGACATTTTTGAAAGTTTATACTTTATTTTTCTCTTGCTAATTTATTCTTATCACTATAAATTTGAAAATATTTTTACATGCCATAACATGCATAAATTTTTAGTTCAGCTTTGATACATCTCTATAACCATGTGAGCCATATCTCTAAATCCAAATATAGGACATTTCTATCACCCCAGAAGGTTTTCTCATGCCTCTTCTCAGTTAATTTTTCCATAAACAATCACCGATCTAAATATAGATTAGTTTTGCCTATTCTGGAACTTCATAAAAATGGAATTTTATTGTATGTTTGCAGTTCATTGTTCTAGACTTTACTTTCTAATAAAAGGTACTTTAATGAAAAATCCTTATTAAGCTCTGAGAATTAAAAATAGCCCTACTTGAAACCAGTTGCAATCACTTTAGGAAACCTAAACTAGTGATCATGTTCTGAAGTTTTCATGTTCTAAAATTTAGATTAGTAGAGAATCAGACTCACAAAAATTGAAAGAGTTTTAGTAGAATTTCTGACAGTGATGGCAAATAAATTTAGGATTATCTGATTTGGATGAGATAACCATTTAATTTTACAGGTCATTTAATCTTCTAGAGTTCAGCAAACATTTTTCTGTAAAGGATCAGGTAGTAAAACTTTAGGTTTATATAGACAATATGGCCTCTTGTCATGACCACTCTGCCTTTTTACTACAGAAGCATTACAGCCAGTACCTAAATGAATGGACATGCTTGTGTTCTATAAAACTGTATTTGGATACTGAAATTTGAATTTTATATAACTTTCACATATAAAAAGTACTCTTTTTATTTTCTTTGAACCATTTTAAAATGTAAATTCAATCTTAGTTTTTAGATTGTTAAAAAAAAAAAGTCAAAGAACAGGCTGGATTTGTCCCATGGGCTCCAGTTTGCTGACTCCGTCCCATCCCATAGCCTAACCTGTCTACATTTACATACTTACTTTGGAGTCTTTTATAACTGTTCTCCAGGACTTCAGGCAGGTCATGGACGATAGACTTTTCTGTGAAGTAAACGGAGACGACAGAGGACGTTTTAATAGAAAATTATTTTCCGGTGTAGGGATTAAGGTAACTTTCTAGATCTAAGAAGCTTTGTCTAAAAGGAGAGTGATAGATAGGAAACACACTAATTGAATGAAAACATGTAAACATTAGCATAGATTTAAGAAGACTCTGATCTTTAAAATATATTTAGATCTTTTCTTTGCATGTATTCAGGATGACAGTTAAATAAATCTATAAACAACCATCTCTGTTCTCTTTCCCCATTTTGATCAGACTAAAGGTCTCTCAGAAGCAGTTGATGAACTTTAAAGAGTGGTTAGTGGGGAGAATTAATGTCAAAGTGACCACAGCCAGCTGGGTCCGGTGGCTTATGCCTGTAATCCCAGCACTTTGGGAGGCTGAGGCGGGCCTATCACAAGGTCAGGAGATCAAGACCACCCTGGCTAACATGGTGAAACCCCGTCCCTACTAAAAATACAAAAAATTAGCTGGGCATGGTAGCACATGCATGTAGTCCCACCTACTTGGGAGGCTGAGGCAAGAGAATCGCTTGAACCCGGGAGGTGGAGGTTGCAGTGAGCCAAGATCATGCCACTGCACTCCAACCTGGGTGACGGAGTAAGACTCAGTCTCAAAAAAAATGACCACAGCCCAGCTTTTACCTTGGAATCTGTGCTAGTTCCTATGTGACTCTCATTCCTATGTCTCCCACTTTTTGTTTTCCCTTTTCTGTTTCCTTTTTATAACCAACTTTTGTTTCTTTCGCTCATTTAGCTATAATAAGGTGATTTAAAATTTTTAATGAATAAAGTTGTATCTTCACTTACTTTGAAAAGTTAAGGTTAAATTTTCTATTTACTTTCTCCAATCCCAAAGCTTGCTTTCTTTCCCCCCCAAAAAACCTGTTAATATCTTTTAGAAAGAAAAATATTTTCTATTCTACATATTGGATAGGGGGCCGTTTTTATCCTAAATAATCACTTTCCTTTTGATTGCATTTAATGCAACCATAGAGTGCATAATCAGTGAACTATTGGCATGATATACATGTAATCTGAGTTCATAATTATTTTTTTATAAAGATCATTTTGTGGTTGAAATTTATGTGGCTATGTTTTCTTTAAGTAAGTCATCAATTTATTCTGTGATGAATATGATTAACATAAAACATAGATTAAAGAGCTAGTAGGAAGTATAAAGTACTCACATATGTTTTAAATTCCCTGGTTTCAGACCTCAAATAGTACCTTGTTCAAGTAAGTACTTCAAAAAATATGTTTGATTAGAGTGTGCTCACCTCTGATGTGTGCTATTTGCTTTACATTATCCCATTGCTTAAAGGTAGTCTAAATGTCCCTATTGCTGTTGTGCTTCAAGAGCCTTGTGCAGAAATACAAAACTCTGAACTGTTATCTTTTTCATTTGTGGTACTTCTGTATGAGAAATAGTTAATACATAGTCTTTAAAGCCAAAATACTAAGTATAGAGAATCTGTATCTTAGGGGGAGCCACTTTGAATTTTTTTAAAAAAAGGTGTTTAGTCCAAAAAGAACAAGGAGTATTCGAGGAAGAGTTGTACAGATCAAAATGAAAAGTTGAATTGTCTTTGAGAAATGATTAAGAATTTCAAATATATATAAAAAATTTTTAATATATATAAAAACATATAAAACATAGATAATCATTTAGTTACAGCTCTGCTGTTTCATCTGTAATAATTCTTTTTTCTTGAATGTACTTTGGCACAGTAAGTTAGGGACCGTTAGTTGCCTAGTGAGGCAGATATATTTTGAAAGCTGTTCAATTCATCTCCTAAAAAGGAATTACATACTATGAGAAAAGAGGTTCATTTTGAAGGTATAAGTATAACGTAAAGGTATAAAGCTGATTTTTTTGTAGGCAAACATAAGTTTCTACAGTTGTTTTTCAGTATCTCTAGTGTTCTTTCTACATAATAACTCTGGAGTCTAAATAAATAGTACCCTCTCTAAAATGAATTCCCTTGATAATAGCTTTAAAGTTGATCATCTAAGTCTTTATGTGCTGTAATAAACAGAGGTAACCCAGCAAGTATTATTCAGGAAATGGTTTGTTATCTAAATATAAACATAGATTTGGAAATGCATTGTTGGCTTATACATTAAGATGCAAAGGAAATATTTTTGAAGAATATCTTTAAGGCAGCAGTTTGTTTCTTGTTAATTTAATTAATCTTGTCCTGGGCTTGCTAGTTTGATATCTTTTTGTCTTTTACGATAAAAAGTGATTCTAAGAAAGTAAGACTTTCTGGAGACAAAGATTCTTTGCCGAAGATTTATTACTGAGTTTTGCTAACTTTATTTTCCAAGGTGTCTGATGGCCAAGAGTCTACACCACCAACACCTGCACCCACTTCAGGAATTGTGGGTGCATTAATGGAAGTGATGCAGAAAAGGAGCAAAGCCATTCATTCTTCAGGTAGAGAGAGAGAGAGAGAGAGAGAGAGAGAGTGTGTGTGTGCACATGTGTATTTAATAAATTCAAATGTTTGAAGTTCAATTTTTTTTTTAATTTTATGACTGTCTTTGCTAGCTTTCTGCTAATAGAGTAACTACTGATGTGGAGTCTAGGGTGTATCTTAAAAGTTGTTGCCTCTTTGACTAGTCTGTCTGAAACTTGACACAGCCATAGCCATAAATTGAAAGAATAGCTTTGGGAAAATTGACACTTTTGTTTCCTGTATCAGGAAATGCTCAAAAACTTTCTACCAAACCACTGCTAAACAGAATTTGAGATTTTTAGATTTCATTCCTGTGATATTACTATGACATAAAAAATTCAGGCGCTTTACCTCATCTGTGAGGATTAGAGCTAAGAATTTATAATTTTCACTGTTTCTAGAGTTTGCTAAAGAATACTAACTTTTCTTAAACCTTTATCATTTTCTAAACGGTTATTTGAATAAACCAGTACCTATTTTGAGGTTATTACTAAACATACACATACCATCATAGAAATGAATATTGCTTTAAAGAAAGAACAAGGATATGGGCTTTGCTGATTGGAGTGTTTGCGGTTTGCAAAATAGCTTTTCCAACATGATGTGCTAGAGTCAGATCTTACTAGATTTATTTAATCTCTGTGAGCCTCAGTTTCTCATTTGTTACATTGAGAGAATTCACAAAGCACATGATAGATGTGAGAATTAAATAGTATGTCACTAATCAGCAGATTGCCTAGCACATAGTAGGTGCTCACTAAATGTTGTCTTCCTTTTCTTTGTTTCTCTGTAAGGATGTGCATGTCTAGACCCTTGAGCAATGTGTGTTTTCCTTGAATAGGCATATTTGTTTCTATCCTGCATTACAGAAATGGAGATAAATATTTACTGTGGAATAATAATAAACTTTAACAAAACAACAGAAATCTCTGCCTTCATGGACGTGCATTAGGTCTAATGAGAGAGAGACAAGCAATAAACAAAGCAAACTAGAAAAACATACAGTATGTTAAGTGGTGACATGAACTAAGGACAAAAGTCTAATAGAAAAGGGAAATGAGTTACAGACTGTTGAGAGGGAAGTTCATTTTGAAATGGGACGATAAAGCCTAACTGAGGTGACATTTGAAAGACTAGAAGTTCAGGAAGTGAACCATGTAGAAAACCGGGGAAAGTGTATCCAATGGAAAGAACAGCAAATATAAAGTCTGAGAGGCTGAGATACAATGAAGAGATCAAGAAGCTTGCAAGGGAGGGAGGGAAAGAGTAGTAAGGACTGAAATACAAGTAAGTAGTAAGGCTTTGGAGACCCCCGACGGTAGCTTTTATTCTGAAGGTGATGGGAAGCCTTTGGAGGGTTTTTAGCAGAGCTGTAGTAATGATCCAAGCAAGAAATGATGGAGGCTTAAACCAGGTTTATAGCACCAAGAAGAAGTGGTTGAATATTAGTTATATTTTGAATGTGGAGATCACTGGGTTTGCTGTGGTTTGAAAGTGAAGGTAGAAGTAAAGGGTGGAGTGCAAGATGACTCCAAGGTTTTTGACTTGAACAACTGGAAAAGGGAGACTTAGGAAGAAAAAGTTTGAAAGGGAAGATTAGGAGTTTGGTTTTACATATTAAATTTGAGATATCTATTAATTCAAATATAGATATGGAGTAGCATTTGGTTATGAGTCTGGAAGTCATAAGAGAGGTCTTAATTGCTAGATTGCATGTCAGTAGGATATACATAGACACAGTATTTAAAGTTATGCTTATGTCTATGGTATAGTGTTCTTTAGTAAACTCTAGAAACAGTGAAAATTACCTAAATTGTTAGCCCTAATCCTCACAGATGAGGCAAAGCGCCTGAATTTTTTATGTCACAGGAATGACATCTAAAAATCTCAAGCTTAGTTTAAAGGTTGCTTGCTAGGAAGAGATAAAGGTCTTCATTCTTTCCAGGTAAGAGAATGTAAGCCTTCTGTGAAATACATGATTCTGAAAAAGAATGTATTCTATTCTGGTGTCTGTGAGTTCTGTTAAACATTTCCCTACAATTAAGTTTTTTTTTTAAATAATATATAATAGTCATGCCAGTATAATGACAATACAGGATTGTTTATACTTATTTTCAGACTTGTTGGCTATTAGCTTTTACCTATTTAACTATTATTGACTATTATTATTTCTGCAGTAGTATCTCATGATGGAATTATTAGCTACTTCCTGCTCTTCACCATAGAACTGATAAATTTCTGTCTTTTGTCACTCAGTAAATACCAGCATAGTTGGGTGTCTTTGATGCTTTTCATTCAGGTAAATTTTGTAAAGCATGTCTAGCAAAGCTGGTAGCAAATTTTTTCTCTTGCTAGAAAAGTAAACACAGAAGTTAACATGAAGTCAGTTGAACTCCTTTCCAAATAAATTCTCTAACAATTTAGAGCTGACCATCAGACATAAATAAATAATAAATAATTATTGTTATAAAAGTAAAAACTTAGGCCAGGCATGGTGCCTCACACCTGTAATCCCAACACTTTAGGCAGGTGGATCATCTGAGGTCAGGAGTTCAAGACCAGCCTGGCCAACATACTGAAACGCTGTCTCTACTAAAAATACAAAAATTAGCCAGACATGGGGGTTGGCGCTTATAATACCAGCTACTCGGGAGGCTGAGGCTGGAGAATGACATGAACCTGGAGGTGGAGGTTGCAGTGAGCCAAGATTGCACCATTGTACTCCAGCCTAGGCAACAAGAGTCATCTCAAAAAATAAAAAGTAAAAATAAGTTACAACTTTGTTTGGGGCCAAGAGAAGATAAAGTTGCCCCTCTTTGGCTTCTGTTAATTTTCAAGTTTTAATACTAGAGCTCAAATACTTTTTCAGATACTAAGACAATCAATTTTATATGGAGAAAAATAGAAGAAAAAGTTTTTTCTGTGTTCTGTACATTTAACCCACGCATATGTCACATAGTCTTACTGGCTGTTTATCATTATCAGTTACTCAGCTGCTGTCTCACTTTATATACTTGGTCTTCATGGGTCCTATAAGGTATATATATTTAAGAGGTTAAATATGGAAAGTCTGTATAATATAGAAATATGTGTATAAAATCTAATGACATCTAAATATTCCTTCAACAAATACTTATTGAACAGCTGATTAGTAGCACTGTTTTTGGTGTTGAGGATACAGTGAAAAATAAGATAGGCAGGGTCCCTGCTGTCATGGAGCTTAATAAAGTACAATAATTTTAGATATTAGTAAGTGATAGGAGGAAATAAAATGGGATACGCAGTTACTGATTGTGGGCAAGGGCTGTACTTTATGTATGATGGTTAGGAAAGGCCTCTCTGAGGAAGTAGTTTTTGAGTGGGTTCTAAATGATGAAAAGATTAGTTTAACAGAAGAAATAGCTACTGCAGAAGCTCTAAAGCCAGAATAAGCTTGGTAAGTTTAAGGGACAGAAAGGAGGCCATCTTAATGGAGATAGTGACTTGAAGGGAGAGTGCGTTAGAGAAAAGCTTGCGGGAGGGAGAGAAACAATAATGGGCAAATCATGTAGGGTGTTCTAGAGGTAGTGAACATCAGATTTCATTCAGATAGCAGTGGTAGGTAGCCACAGGAGGACTTAAAGAAGGGTAGCAACATGATGTTTTTAAACTTGGAATTTAAGTATTATCACTCTATTTGCTGTGAGGCAAATAGACTCTAGATTTGCGGTAATCCAAGCAGGATGTGATGGTGGTGTGGAGAGTAGTAGTGAAAAAAGTGAAAGAGAGCAGACTTGATAATTGGATGGCGAAGAAGGAGGAAGTAATAATAATTTCTAGGTTTTTGGCCTGATTATGTGACAGGTTGGTGATGCCATTTATTGAGATGGAGCAGACCAGGATGGAGCAGGAAAGGAATATTGGAGAAGGAGATAAGAGTTAGAAGTTTTGAGTTTGAGAATCTACATGAAGAGTACAAGAAGGCAGTTGGATTTGAGACAGAATGGTCAACCCAGATGTGATTTTATATATTAACACAGGTTGAAATTTGTCACATAGATACTGAGGAATTAGATCCCTTGTCTTCTGAGTCCTGTTTTTTTTGTTTGTTTGTTTTGTTTGTTTTGAGACGTAGTTTCGCTCTTGTTACCCAGGCTGGAGTGCAATGGCGCCATCTCAGCTCACTGCAACCTCCCTGGGTTCAGGCAATTCACCTGCCTCAGCCTCCTGAGTAGCTGGGATTACAGGCACTCGCCACTGTGCCCAGCTAATTTTTTTTATTTTTAGTAGAGACGGGGTTTCACCATGTTGACCAGGTGAAACCTTGATCTCTCGACCTCGTGATCCACCTGCCTCGGCCTCCCAAAGTGCTGGGATTACAGGCGTGAGCCACCGTGCCCGGCCCCCTGTTTTAATCTTTAGTTTACTATCATACTCTATAGATATATTTCTTTAGCTTCACTTTAAACTATTTTAGTAACTAGATTCTTCTAGGAGTCAGATTATCTGTGTTTCAGGAGTTAAGTAATTGGAGAAATCACCCAAGAATTATGTAATGTCATTTTATTTATGCTTATATATTAATTGTGTGTCTCAATTTTCTTCTAGATGAAGATGAAGATGAAGATGATGAAGAAGATTTTGAGGATGATGATGAGTGGGAAGACTGATCTATATATTATATATATATATATATATTTTTAAGGTGAAATACTAAACACTACTTTCTTTCTGTGGATTCTGTAAAATTATCATGTAAATGTTCTACCAATTTGCTGTATATTTTTGTTGCCTTTTTTGCTTTTTTTTTTAATTAATCTGTGCAATACCTCATTTAATCTGTAAAGGTTTGTCATAATCCTCTACAAAGCTACTCCCTGTTATTGTGTGCAAGTTTACACCAGGATGCTCACTTAATTTGTGAATATTTTTCATTCCATCAACAAGGGAGTTTAAATACTATATGTGAGACTGACAAAAACCTTAATGTAATTTACTTATAATGCCAGAAGGAAAACACTATTTTCATACCCTACTTTTTCTGTACCTAAATTTTCTTAAAAAAAAATCTAGTATAGCACTACATTCTTTTTTAAGTGATGCAAACCTTAGTTTCTTTAGCCCCTTTATTTTGAATACAACACTACATATGAATGTTGAAGCTGATACATTGCACAGTTCTGTAGACATCACTATACTGATACAGTTTCTCAAATTTTAGCAATATGCTCTACATAAAATCACTACAGAGATGTTAGTGGGGAAGATGAGTAACACACCTCTTACAGCAATACTGCCTGTTATTGGGATAGCAGTGGTATTTGCAGGCTGGAATCATAAGGAGCCCTTACATACTTGTTATTGACTGAGGTTATTTTGATGCTGTAGCAAATGTGGCAGGCTCTTTTTGGCAAAATTTTTGAAAATTTTTTTGGTATTATTCTGAAGCAAAATTTAAGTTGAAGTTTGGGGGATTAGGGAGTACTTTTCATTCTACATGAACTGAAGTCATATTATGGTTACTCCAATATTTGGTTTAAAAAGCTGTACAAATTAGAATAGTACTAAAATAGTGTGGAATTTCAGCATTTTTATTTTGTACTTTGTGTGGATTGAGGTATTCAAAAATACCAACTATAAAAATCTAATCTGGTTGGCAAAGATATGCACTGAAACATAGGATCTCGAATGCATTTATTTTGATAATTTTTGACAATTTTTGTCAAATAGCAAGTGAAGGGTTACATTTTTTTAAGAAGATTAGTGATCCCAGTGTCAAATTTCTTAAAACACATAACTGAGTGATAGATTCTTTTTAAAGATAAAACTTTACAACCTGCACATTTGTTATGTATACTAAATGGTATGTTAAAATTAGGGTTTCTTTGCCTTGCTGCAATACACTAATCTGCCTAAAGGTGGTTTTTTCATATTTATAATGCTAATTATCATACCTACCTACTTTAAATTTTAGGTAGAAAATTATCTGATTTAAATACAGACACATATTTTTCTCACATTGAGTCATACGCATAATGTAGTTCCAAATGTATTTCATTACTATAGTCACAATATCCAACTAAAAATTATGCTATCTAGAATTGTACCGACCAAAATCTAGTATTGGCAGATCTTGACAGGCTGGACCTGCAAGATGTGGCTTGAATTTTAACCATTTATTACATAATCTATAGTGATCATGCATCTAGTTATCATAAGAAATAATTTAAAAGGGTTTTGTTGCTGAAAGCAGTAAGTGGTGCAGTAAAATAGTTAAGTTATTCAAAGAATGTAATCTTTCTTGCAAGAGTAATTTAAGCACATGGGAAAGATTCTAGACTTTTTGTTTCTTGCAACAACAGTGCCCTCTGCTGCTAGAAACCTTTTTCTACTACTATCATTTTTGTTGTGGCTTGAGCTCAATGAATCTGGTGCAGATGAGGCTGAACAACTACTAACCAATAAAATCAGGAATTTGTACAAAAGTTAAATGGGACATTATAATTATTTTAAATAATGTTAATTTTTTTTCTTTTTGACGATATAAAAACATTTTAAATTTTCTAGAAATGTCTTCAAGGTAATGCCAATTTAAGATCTCTCTTAACTTTTGGCAAGGAATTCTAGATTTTCAAGCTAACTTTGGTATAATAAATATTTATCAGGAACTTGTCTTAGCAGAGAGTATCCATTCTTTGAAGTCGAAGCACAATTTTAAACATGTAAGATGGACATATAATTTGCCAAAGGTAATTGAATTTATTCTTTTTTTCTTAAAGAAAATAAAAGACTTTGGTTGTTGTTGCACAAAGTCTAAATTACTATTGGTTGAAACACAGCAGCTGTGGAGTTCAGTCCAGGCATGAAGACTAAATCTGCTTTACCAAGTAAGGTGTAAGGTTGCATGTTTCAGTCCTCTACCATCTTGCACTGTGAGCAGCACTATACCTGTGCGTTGTCTGAAAGCCTCCGTATATTCTCCAGCTATATGGTTGTCTGGTAGCCTTTGCATTTAACAAACTAGCATGAGGCTTTTTATATCTAAATGCTACGTGATAGACAATTTCAGCTAGCCACATATTGTATGTATGAAATTCATAAAGACTTTCAATCATTTCATTTTCAAACAACTGAAATTTTGTTTAGTATGTGAATTTTTTTTTTTTTTTTTGAAATGTATAGTGAATAGGATGTTGCACTGGTGGCAATTCATCATGGAGCATAATAAAATTAATTTGACCCAATAGTATAAAATAGTGTGTTTTATTTGTTTATTGTTAAGAAAGTAACTTTATAGCAAAGGGTACACAGCAGTCAGTGATAATGGTTGATGTTTTCAGTAGACTGCATGCCCTGAGAGTTAGAGTGTGCCATTAAATAAACATGGTGAGCAGAAGAATGTTACACCCTGTTCTGTTGGGAAACATGACAGCTGCTGTGGTTAACAGAGCATTCACATTGCAAGGTCAAACTGTTTGGAACTCTTCCACATACCAAAAATGTTGAAGTTTTCTAAAGAAGAATAATAGTGGAGTTTACTGGTAGTTTCAATAAATGCCAAATATACCAGTTTGTATGGGACATAAGTAGCTTTTAATAAGTGGTATCAAAGAGGGTGCTCATTTTAAACAGGAAACTGTTTTTGATAAATAGAATTTTCTGTTTCACTGACCCTGGCACAAGTGGGTGTCTGAAGATTAAACTGAGTTGGGGAATTCAGAGTGTAGGATGCTGCAAAATTCCTTTTAAGAGCCTTGGTCAAATTTAACAACCATTTCAAGAATAATATGTTCTATTAAAAAGTTGTTTCTCTTGTACAATTGTAAATACTTAAGAATGTATTAAACTTTTAAAAGAATTTTTTTAAAGAGAAGTGAAATGTGCCTAAGAATTGTTTCCGTCACATTTGTATCTAATCAACAGAGGGGATTCTTGAGATAACTCTGCTTTAGGAATGGAGTTCCTAAAGGACAAGTATGGAGAGAAGGCTTATTTATAGTACAATGAAAAATCCTGTTTCATTGTATGGAAAAGTTGCAAAATTTTACCTTCTACATTTATTGACATTGTCATGTCTCACCTCCAAAACACAGCATTCTTTAAAATCTCTTGGTCATTTATTTGTGGATTAAAAAAAAATCGTGCTTTCTAGGGAAGCCTCTGGGAAGGGTATAGTACACCGTTATGAATATGCTAGGGAGCATGCTTTGCAGCTACTGCCTTTACTTCTGTATGTGATATGTAGCATCCTCCATTGCCATAAGGAGCCTATTGAAAAATTTGTCTCCAGATGCGTCTGCCATAGGTTTTTCTAAAAAAGAAAAAAAGCATCACAGATTGTGTTAACTGTTGATATTTACTGTTACAGAAGTCCAGTGTAACTCTAAATTGGCCATGCACACCATTATCAAAATTGGCAAATCAAGATGTGACTAGCACGTAATTATTTTGAGTAAAGCATAACAGATGGTAGTTTATAGGTGGTTTCAGTTTAATCAGATATTTGTGTGTTGGGGTATTTCTAGTAAATTTGAAGTAGTCCCTGAATAACAACCACAAAAAAAATCTACCTTAGGATTTAAAAAAAAAAAGTTGAATTTCAGCAGTATCAGATTGCATTCTTGAACTTGAACAAAACACTATTGAATTGGTTGGCATTTCATGACCTAAATTTTGTCTTGTCTTAGTGATTGCTAGATGTGTGTAGATTTTCATCAAGGCCTAATTCTAAGGATTTTTAAAGCATCAGTATCACCATATTTAAATAATTGTGAACTAAATGGTAGACATTAAGATCGACAGTGGAGTAGGATAGGTCCCCACTCGCATGTACGTCGTTTAAATCTAAACTACTTATTTCATAAATGAAAGATGTTTGGAGACCATTGAGATATGAGAACAGAAGCACATGGACGTCACCAAACCTGTTTTCTCATTTCACAGGTGAGGGTCGTCACTCATGTTCACAGGGCTTGTGGGGCCTGCCCGAGGTTAATTAGAACTAGTAGTAGAAGCCAAATCTGACTAGTTCAGCTGCTCTTTTTCATGTACCTTAATCCTATTGTATTCCTTTCTTTTTCTTAGATTAAGGATGAACTGCAGATTTAGTTTGTTTCTGAAAGGTGTATGGCTGCAAATGTCACCCTTTCTCACATATCATCTGGGTGCTGGAAGAAGCCCCTAACATTCTGTGTCCATCTCTAGCCAGAAAAGCTGTCTTGCTTTGAGGAGCCAGCCAGCCTCTGACTCTGATGCATGTGATTATATTTTGGCTCAATGGTGGCAGTCACCCTACATTGCCCAAGTATTTGGTCATTACAGGGCACTTCTGTCATCTAGTACAGAGTTGAAATGAGGTTGAGCTTTTCATTCTACATTAAATTATTTTTGTTAGTTTCTTACAGATATAAATAGGCATTGTTTTTACTTAGACATAAGTATTTCATAAGTCTTTACAACTTGTCTGACAGAATATTAGTTTGAGAATATATTAATCTTTCTGAGTAATTTTTTGATCAACAGCTGCACTGCCAATTTAAAGACCGGGAGTTCTTCCAAGGACCGCAAGGACAAACAATGCTTCAAATCCAGCTTCCTGGCTTTATTGATGAGAGAGGGGGAAATCCTAACTGGGTTCCATGTACTGGAAAAGAGGCAGGAAAATAAAATGTGGATCTTGTATTTGTGATGTTGAAAGAAACAAATGAAAAGGCATTATCATGTCCATTTAACTATGGGAAAACAAAGGTGTTCATGTCTCAATTCTATAGTTGTCTTAAGGGAAAGTATAATTTAGCTCCTTAAATCAGCGTCTGACCTAAAAAGAAACAACTTTTTAAAGCTGGGTTGGGAATCTAAGGAGGCAGAGAACAGAAAGGAGAGTTTGTGTTTATAAGCATATTTTGGTGATCAGGAGAAAGCTCAGCAAGTAGAATTAAGAAATACATTTCAATCTCCATTTTTAGGAATGAAAACTAGTTCTATAAGAAGAAACTCATCTTTGTTTTTCGTTTGTTTATTGAGCAAGGATGTGAATGCATAAGGATCAAACTTTTTCTTGATTGTATTAGCTAAAGCTCAAAACTACACTCGACCATTCAAGTGTAAGGGATTTTTCTTTTCTTTCTTTTTTTTTTTTTTTAAGTTTTCTGCTGAACTTAGCTGTAGATATAAGCATAGCCCTATTTCAATCACTTTCTTTCCAAGCCACCAATAAATGGACCTTATGATTCTACTTAAGTGGCTTTGCTTTAGCCATGGTTGGTATCTGGGTGCTGTAGAACATGCTTATAATGGACTTGCTGCCCAGAGATGTTTAGGAAGTGCAAGTAGCTTCTGAGCCAGATAGTTGCTTTAGATCTACACCAGTGCCCAAAAGTTCTGTAGCGACGTGCTGCACTAACGACATGATGTAGGCCAGTTAGATTGTGCAAAGAGAGAGTCCCTGCATACTACCAGAGCCCAAATTTAGCACCCTGTTTGCTTTAGCACTTTTATCACTTTGTTTTCCAAAACTCAAAGCAACAGAAAAACTGATTTGTTATGGGAATCACTCTTATTTTTCATGTGTTTTTGTTTCCAAGCTGTCTAAATCATACTAACCAAGATAATTCAACCAGCTTAGGAAAAACAAATACATTGTCCATTTGAGTTCAGTTTTGATTCTGTAAAGACTGCAAAGCTGCCTTCACTAACCATTATCGCTACTATTAAATGGTATTTGATAGGTTGTTGGAAAAGAGAGTTGCCCTTTCCACTGCATGGCAGGTTAACACTTCAGTGTAGCCTCATCTTTGAATCTTGGTGTTGCTTTGTGATACTAGCATTGCGGTAATGATCCCACATAAGAACTGTTCGGCATAGTAAACCTTGGGGTCTTTCAACTTGTGAAAAACTATCGCTGTATCTTCACATTGGTAAGATTTTCCACAAAATTGAGGCTAAAGATAGGCATTGAAAAACTAAAGGAATTTTTTGAAGGCTTTCCCCAGACAGCTTTTAAATACACATGTTTCTTAAATATTACTGGGAAATGGTGACTAAAGCAAGAAAGAAACATAAGGAAATGTTCTATATAATCTTGAGTCATCAGAAATTTCCATAAGTATGATTTATTTTCAAAGTCAATGGATAAATGAACTTGAATGCAAGTATTAGTCTAATGTCCTATACTAAAGCAAACTTTTAAATGATTATTACCATAAGTTGGAAACAGACCCCAGAATAAAACAAATCTCTCATTCTATAGAGTAATACATCTTGAAGATCATGTGACTACATAATGCTAAGTCCCTTGAGAAATCAGGCTTTTTTCTTTTTTTCTTCTATCACTTTCTTAGAACGTTTTTATAGTTTATTAAGTTTCCTTGACACAGTAGGATTTGGGATAAAAGTCGTGCACACAACCAATTATGAAAGAATGGCAAAAAGGCATGCATCGGTGGAGAAGTAAAGGACAGCTGGAAAAGCTTAACACACTGTTGGAGAGATACAGTGATGAGTGTACCAACAGCTGAGGCCACTTCCAAATGTGCAAAAACACAAGGTCTGCATTAGCAGGTCACTCGAGAGGCCAGTCTTGGATCTAATTGATGTTATTTAGAAATTGTCTTAGTATGCATGGGCAAGAACATTTATGTATATTGATGCATATAAAATATTTATAGAACCACCATGACCTGTGGAGATTTAAAACAACTTGCTAAGTACAAAGAGAAGGAATTAGTGCATAAATTATTCTGTGGCCTAGTCCATTTAGGCAGAGAAATAGCTTTTTATCTATAGGTCATGATTCTTGAGAGGTTTATATGACTGTACTCAGCATCTAATCGAATGAGAAAATGTTGGTAAAACAAAAGGGTAAAGAGGAGATTTATATTTGTAATTGTTACCCACAAGACTGATAATGGGTTCAGTGGTGTAAACAGGCTAGTTGGAAGATTTGGTGACTACAGGCTGTTTTATGCAGGATGGTTCATATCAAATTGCTGCATAATTTTTATTTCTAAATATGAGAGTTTTAAGTCACTGATGTAAGAAATATTTGTATATCCTTTAATCGTTTCGTCAAAGCTAAATCATCTATTATAATTGAGAAAAGGGACCAGTAACCATGGAATTTTGGACATGCAGAAGACTCTGTGTCTAACATGCTACTCAGAGAAATGTAGGTACAGGTGTCATTTTAGATGAGTATCTATTTCTTCTGGAACAACTGGCCTGCCTGACTATGCACTTTGGCAAT